CCCCTTCCTATCCCTCTCCCCTCCCCCTCCCCCTTCCCATCCCCCTTCTGTCTCTCTCTCACACACACAATTGATTTTTAAAATTGTAAAAAGATGCTATGTAAAATAATCAAACTATGATTTTGGACTCAGCACAATGTCAGGTGGAGGACAATAAAGAAACACTTAGGAATTATCAAGAAAGTATTATTTCCAAACAAAACTGCAATACTTGCTTACATTAGCCAAGACAGGCCTTTTGTCCTTTACTCCATGTTTGCAGATTGACTCATAGACGTTTTTATATTCTAGTTTTGAGTAAGAGAAAAGAACACTTAAGAATAGTTCCCTCAAAGTCTAGGTCAGGCTGAAGTGAGCTGTCCCCCACTCTTGGGAAGAAGAGATCGTCTTACATGTCACCTCCATGGTCTTTCTTTTCTCGTCCTCACTCGGTTCTGTTTATTTCAAGCATGACATGGGACACTTCTGGTGCTAGCAGCAGACTGACACTTGGTTCCAGGCCAGGCCTGCCCAGAAATGAGCCTTTCATGGCCCTCAACAGAGTCAAGGCCGAGGTGTCACCCTTCATTGGAGTCCAGTCACTGGCAGTTTTTTCCTCTTAGGATGTTAATGTATTTCTAGCACATGTGTCTAATTTTTAGTGTATGTTTATAGAGACACAGATTCCTTCTGGATAGGTTTTAGATAGCAGTGCTTGAGGAGATCACATTTTCATATCCCAAACTACTTTCAAATAGCTAGGAATTTGAACTGTAACTCTGATTGTATTATTATTATTTTTTAATTATTCCTACTTTCCTGTTGTTTTCTCAGTGATGAAATTGAGGTCATTGAGTAAAATAATCTCAAAGACAAATAGGAAATTGTCTGGAGATTTTGTTTTTAAAATGAAGATAGTTTATTATAAGATCCATTTTGAGATCATGTTTTTCAGGCTTTTGATAGACCCTTTATTTTCAAGTTTATTATTTGTGACGTCTTTAATCAAAATAGAATTGCATTGGTTCTTCCCTCCCTTTCCTTCCTCCAGCCTCTCCCACTCACCCTTTCCCCAACCCCTCCACTGCCCCCACTCTCAAGTTGATAGTCTCATTTACTTTATATCTATTAAATACACTCATGTATGTGTGTGCACGAAGAGATATCAACAGAACCTGTCGAGTCTATTTTTGTTGTTTGTGTGTGTGGTTTCAAGGCTGACCACTCTGCACGGCTCAACCCATGAAGAGGCTCATCCCTAGGAGAGGCTGATCCTAGGAGAAGCTGATGATAGTTGCCTATATTCAAGTTTTCCCTCTTCCATGTTAACATGTCCATTATAGTACTATTGCTCCTGCCCTGTTTCACAGCATACTTCTTGGTATTCTGGCTCTTCTTCCATGATATTCCCTGAGCCATAGATGCAGGAACTCCTTCCTTTAGTCTTTTGATCTCTACATTGTATCCAGTTGCAGTTTTAAAGAGAGGCTTCTTTGAATGAGGAAGAGTAGTTGCACTTATCTGTGGGTATAAGGATAAGATTTGAAACTTAGTAAGGAATTATACTGGTCTAGCAAAGTGGCAGTAGAAGATTCTTTTCTGAGGTCCATGACCTCACCAGCCCCAGAAAGCTGTCTAGGTTTCTAACACCAGGCACAGTTTCCCTCCTGGTGAATGGGGCCTTAGTCCAATTAGACAGCTGTTTATTGACACCTTCATGCCTATCTTGCCATGCTGGTAGTTGTCGTGGTTCATAGGTGTTGTAGCTGGGTAGGGCTGTTAATTGCTTATGTCTCTTGGCAGTTTGCATAGCGTTTTCTGGAATCATGAAAGCTATCCTGGAGGGAAGATGCTTTCAGGTCAGACTCAGCTTGAGTCATCTGAGCCTTGTGACCCACGGATGCAGTGTTCTTCAGCATTGGGGCCCAGCCCTGAGAGGAAACCAAGGGCTTCACTGATAATCTGTATTGCTTAGGAAGTCATTTGGACTATCCTGACCTGTGGTGGTATGTTATGTACCCTAATAAACTTTGCCTGGAGATCAGAGCAACAAAGGAACAAGCCACCTCTTAGCTCTAGGACTCCTGATTAGGATTCATGTTACACTGACCAACTCTTCAAAAGGAGATTTCTTGTGTCTGGTACTGGGGTTTTTGTTAGTTTGTGGTTTGGGGGGAAACATTGTCAGCCCAGGTGGCTTAACTTCCTCATACATATGTTCACACGTATATATGTATATACATACATGTATGTGTTGTATATAATTTTAGGTAGTTATAAAATAATATGATTCCTTGATGCTTGATCAAACAACATTGGCATTATTTGTCCCTCAGTCCTCATCTTCCATCTGTATTGACCTCCCTTCACCCTCCCTAGTTGGATCCCCTTCCTGTTATCCATTCTTCCTGCATATTACCTGTACCCTGCTATTCTCTACCAAGGGCCTCCACTGCCTGAGGTCTCTTTACTTTTCTGGTGTCTCTGGTTACTACATGTTGTCTGCTCAGATCTGAGGTGTTGAGGCTAGGAACTACTGACAAGAGAGTGGCATTTGTCTTTGTGGGTCTGGGTTACCCCATTTCTTGCATTTTATGCATAGAAACTTGTGAGACAGGTGGTATTGTTAGTTCTGCTTTTATTTCTTTCCACAGGCAACAAAATTAAGCCTTATAAGTTTATGTAATTATACCAAAGCACTAAGTCATTTGACTTTAAACCTCAAATTTAGTTGTACAAATTAAACCCAGCAGTCAGTCTCTCTCTCTCTCTCTCTCTCTCTCTCTCTCTCTCTCTCTCTCTCTCTCTCTCTCTC